TAAATAATAAATATTTTATTTATATAACAGAATTTATTTTATTTAGAGTACAGTCATGCCTCAGAAGTTGAACAGAATCCATTCTGGAAGTCTGTTCGACTTCCAAAACATTCAGAAACCTAGGCGCAGCTTCCGATTGGCTGCAGGAAGCTCCTGCAGCCAATCGAAAGCCACGGAACCCACGTTGGAGCTTCGGGTTCCAAAGAATGTTTGCAAACTGGAACACCCACTTCTGGGTTTGCAGCATTCGGGAGCCAAAACGTTCAACTCACAAGGCATTTGACTGTGTAGTCAACCTTTTTTAAACTAGATGGTTACTTTTAAAAACTTCAAAAACATTGCGAGAAGCATTGACAACTCACAAGTAAAAGTGGCCTGGCCTGTTATTGTGCATTTAATAGCATATTTGGCAATCACAGAGTGGCCAGATGCAAGAAAGGAGAGGACTCCCATACCTTTCAGAGCAGTTGTAGCTTGTCATGCAATCCACACCCAAAACCCCTCCTCACAACTGTGTAGAAGTCTCTTTTAACCAACTCTGCATTACAAGGATGTCTGCGGATGTGACATGAAGACTGGCAACACTAACCCTGCCATGTGGGACTCCCTTGCAGATGACCACGGTGCCTGGAGGCAGACAGTCAGGCTGTGTACCAGAGAGAAGAAACACACTGGTGCATCTGTAATAGCAAAACTGGACGCCTTCATCTACCCCAACTGCAACAAAACATCTCTCTCCATATTGGTCTCTACAGCTACAGCTCTCCCACAGTTTGACTTTAACCCCAAAGGCATATTCTTCCATTGTATCCTGAGGTCAACAGATGCCAACAAATGCAACTGGAGGAGGAAGCAGCAGCGAGGGCATAGGGTGAAGAAAGAGCTGTGAGTAGATGGACCCTTTTTTAATCCTTTGAACCCCTTGGAAAACTTAACAGCCCTGCTGCATCTGGAACTGGGTGGGGAGAGTGTAGCTGATTGGGACACAGGTATGGGCAGCCTGAGGAAGTACCAGTTACCTTGCAATTTTGCCAAAAAAGCTACCCTAATAGAGTGAACATTAGGGTGATGTCTGTTGTTTCCAAGAACTCTTCTTGTTGAGCCTAGGGCTTGCCAATCAGAAGGTCGGCGGTTCGAATCCCCGCGATGGAGTGAGCTCCTGTTGCTCGGTCCCAGCTCCTGCCCACCTAGCAGTTCGAAAGTACGTCAAAGTGCAAGTAGATAAATAGGTACTGCTTTGGCGGGAAGGTAAACGGCGTTTCCGTGCGCTGCTCTGGTTCGACAGAAGCAGCTTAGTCATGCTGGCCACATGACCCAGAAGCTGTCTGCGGACAAACGCTGGCTCCCTTGGCCTATAGAGGGAGATGAGCGCTGCAACCCCAGAGTCGTCCACGACTGGACCTAATGGTCAGAGGTACCTTTACCTTTACTGCTGTTTCCAAGAACTCTTCTTGTTGTGTGACTTTGTGGAATAGCTGAGTGTTTGTTTAGACCCAGAGTCAGAACCCAGTGGCTGAGAGGGAGGGTGTGTCCAAAGGAAAATGAATTGATATTGATTTGAATAAATTAGTAGCTTTGTGTAAGTGTAGGGTTTTTATATGTAATTTTTGTTAAAAAAAATTAAGTTGTCTCTTGTTGCTTCAGTTTTCTTTGCACTGCTTAGAGATGTTTCTAATATATTAAGCAGGATAGAAATTACACAATTAATCAATCACCTACTGGAGATACAGGACCACCTGTCCTCTTCTTCATCTAGCCCCTGTACAGAATTAGCCCATGAAGCTTTTCATGGCATGAAGATAAATGAGAAGTTTAACCTGCTCATTGCTGCAAAGTGAGTAGCTACAGAGCCAGATTCAAAAGTTGGCAACCTTGTTGGGAGATGTCTGAGGAGTATTATCTGCTCAGCCATGAAATATGTTGGGTCCTATTGCTTGGCACAGGATTACAAACCCATTAAGCTTCTCTGAGTTTCAACCTCCCCCGAAAAACACACCCTTGGACTGCAGCGCATATGAAGGAGCAGACAGCACTGTCTTTAAAAAATAAATCTTAGGACTAGGGACATCTTCCTGCAAACAGATGCTATATGGAAGCTCCTCTGGAGTCTTACCTGCGAATGCAAAAGAGCAATTACTCTTAAGTCCTTGTGGTCTCTAGACCCCATTAACTCCCCCTTTCAAAACAGAAAAAATGTGATACCCCAAAGCTAAACAGCTGTGGAAAAATAAAACTGCTGCAAAAGCAGGAAGCAGAGAAAATCAATGAAGATAACTTGCTTAAGGAGCCCAACCTGCTCTGCATAGCTCAGAGTCCTTCTCCAGAGGAAGTGGTTTTGAGAGGGGAGAGTGTCTTTCATTCGAATTCTGCTGCTGTTGTTTACCTCCTCCCGCCCCTTGCAACCATCAAAGGAAACTTTTTCAAGAGTGATTCTACGGAGCTGAGCAAAGCATGTCCTTGTGCTCCTGTGCCTTGCCTGGGCTATAGGCCAGGACTCTTTGATCCCTCTCATTTGGTTGTTGCTTCTTTATTATTTTGCTGACACCTTGAAGCCTTTGTTTTCTCTGCTCCCCCTTTGCTTTGTACTGGTTTTGCAGTCATAAAGAGCTGTAACAACTTTGATGTCGTTAACCCTTGACTGATCTGCTTCTGTCTTACTCCTATAAAAGGCCTAACCTTTGTTTCAGTGTGCTGTCAGGCATTTTGACTTCACTCTCTTTGTAAATGTGGGCCTTACTCTTTACTTTGGATGGCCTGAAAGCATAAAGTACTTCTTAGCTCATTCGCAAGGTTACCTCCCGGCTAAGTTGTGAACTTAGATACTTTATCTTCCCCCACAATGACCCTTACAGGAACATGTGGGGGGCTGGTGCATTAAGTTTTTTATTTTTACATACTCTGAGGACAAAGAAGCAGGACTAAACATCCACACTTGGATGGGGTAACTGTAGTGCTCCAGAAATTGTTGGGCTCCAGCTTTCATTAGCTCCAGGCAACATGGTCAGGGGTGATGGGAACTGGAGTCCAACAACATATTTGGCAATACAGTGGTACCTCGGTTTATGAACTTAATCCGTTCCGGAAGCCTGTTCTTAAACCAAATCCATTCTTAAACTGAGGCACGCTTTCACTAATGAGACCTCCCGCCACCAGTGCCCTTCCACTGTTCAGATTCTGTTCTTAGACCAAGGTAAAGTTTTCAAACCAAGACACTATTTCCGGTTTTGCGGAGTTTGTAAACCAAATCGTTCTTAAACTGGGCTGTTCTTAAACCAAGGTACCACTGTATTGTTTTGCATAAATTTGCATATTAGGCAAAATTGTATATAATCAAATGCATTATTAGAAGTTCACTGATGAATTGTCTTAAGACTTTTTGAAATAATTATTCACAAACATGTGGTAATGCGGAGAACTGAATTTGAGATTTGAAAAATGAGAAACTGAGGGGAAACAAAACTTATAGATTCACCCACCTCTACCGCCAACCCTCCGGACTCTAAAGCAGATTTTCAGGGATCTGCAGGGGAAAGAATAAATGGCAAGAAAGGCCAATACAATTGTTTCCCGTGAGTGGGACGTTTTGTGAGCACCCATTCACAAGACCTCTGGACCCAATGCAACTCATTGCATGCATGTCAGATTTTATTGTGGTCAGTATGAGCCCAAGAAAAATGGTATAAGAACTTTCCTGCTGTATTTTAAAAATATGATGTGGTGTTTCAAGTGGCAGGTCCTGCCCACTAGCCAAGCCGAAGTTGAAGAGAATAGACAGGGCTTCTTATTTGTGTTGGGCAACAACACTTTCTTCAAATATACTCTATGCAACTATAATATGAGTCCAGAATAGTAAATGCTCAGATCTTTTCCTGCCTGTTTTTCCTTGGAAATTCTGTTTTTAAAAGCTGAAAGGATACTTTTGCATTTCTTTTGTTAAAGGGTTTCACTGTGGTGAAAAAAATGCTCTAAGTGTCCATGTACCACTTGGATAGGATATGGGAAGGGGGGGAGGAGGCCTTGATGATAAAATTGCTCTATAGCGCAACAGAAACAATAAAAGTAGTGCTAGTAAAACTCCATCAAAAATTCAGGATTCTGTAAGTCTCCAACAAGTAATCAATGGACTGATATAAATCAGCTTTCGGCAGCTCTGAATTGCTCTCCTAAATAGCCCTGTTATTAGGTATTCATTTTACATTTCCAATAAGCTTCTACTCTGCAGTTAAAGCTGCCTCTACTCTCCCTAAAGGAAGGGAATTGAGGCTGTGTTGTTTGTGAGAAGGATTTGGAGTTGAGTTTCAAAAGCAGAGAGCCTTGGGACATTGTAAATCATATGCCAATTTTCTCCCAAAGAAATCAAGGATCTTTGCCACCTGAGCTCCAATTGATCACTGGAGCTAGGCTTTTAAACCCACCAAAAAGTTCCAAGAGAACACGTGGACAGCTTGACTTTAATGCTAACTTATTAGCAAGTTTGTTAAGATCACAACACAACTAAGTGAGGGCCTAGCTCTCTCTGACACTTGTGATTATCAACAGGATGGTGTCACCAGGTTGTCATACTTTTTACCAGCTGCCTTATTGCCAGCACAATTTCTTCTTTCAACCGAAGGCATTAGTCCTCAAGAAGATCTGCCCAACTCATTCATGTCCATCCTTCCAATGCGCCATGTGCCAAACACAACTATGTGTTGTTGTTTTTCTCAAAGCTTTTTGGAACGTCTTGGCCCTAGATTCTCTCTCAACCAGAACCCAGTGAAAACTATGATACTGATTGATGTGAAAGGTCCCAGAACTGGCAGGCGTGAGATATACAAACACAGAGCTGAAGGACATCCCACTTGTAATGTCTCTACAGGAGGACAAATGCTTGGAGTCTATTGTTGAAGAAGATTGCTTTTCATCAAGATGACAGGGTGCAGCTGCTTTGGCTTCTTGGAAGCTGTTCCATTTCCTCTTGGACACAAACTCCCCAGGGGGTTCCTGCACACTGATCTGACATCGATAGCTGTGCTGACTTAAGGCCAAGCAACATGCTTTCCAATTAATGGAGGTTTCCCCCGCCCCATAATTATGACAAATGTGTCTGTCTATTGTCAGTGACATCAACGGAGCCAGAGCAGTAAGAACCAGTCCGGCAGGAGACTGTCATTGTTAGCCAGAGTGATGGATGAGAATGACTTCTGGGTAGTAGCTAGCTATATTGCAAGCTCAGTAGGGCTAGGGCTAGTGCAGCACCTAGGGAAAGAGGGGTGAGTGAGGAGGGAGTGAGCCTGGCCTTTTTGTATTTGAAGAGCTGACACCTAGACAAAAAGCAGAATCTGTCAGTTTGGGGTTTGAGTAGGAACTACAGTACATTTCCTATTCCTTTTTGATAAAGTGAGTTGATGTTTTATAGCAGTATTCCAGCTGCATAAAGTGGAGGTTTCCATGGGTCTTTTTGTTAAAAAAAATGTTGGGCTGTGTTCATGCCCAATATACATGGCATTTGGCCTCTTAAAATGCTCACTGCTGCTGTATACATGCATAGGTTGCTTAGACATGTGGTCACTCCCAGCCATCAACACAGCTCACAAGAAATTGCTTGGGTTGGACAGCCCACAAGAATAGCTTTCCATTGTATGTGAAGGGATGTCCAGAGCAAAATAAGATGTGTCCTACTTTACACAATCATAGAATCATAGAATCATAGAGTTGGAAGAGACCACAAGGGCCATCGAGTCCAACCCCCTGCCAAGCAGGAAACACCATCAGAGCACTCCTGACATATGGTTGTCAAGCCTCTGCTTAAAGACCTCCAAAGAAGGAGACTTCACCACACTCCTTGGCAGCAAATTCCACTGTCAAACAGCTCTTACTGTCAGGAAGTTCTTCCTAATGTTTGGGTGGAATCTTCTTTCTTGTAGTTTGGATCCATTGCTCCGTGTCCACTTCTCTGGAGCAGCAGAAAACAACCTTTCTCCCTCCTCTATGTGACATCCTTTTATATATTTGAACATGGCTATCATATCACCCCTTAACCTCCTCTTCTCCAGGCTAAACATGCCCAGCTCCCTTAGCCGTTCCTCATAAGGCATCGTTTCCAGGCCTTTGACCATTTTGGTTGCCCTCCTCTGGACACGTTCCAGTTTGTCAGTGTCCTTCTTGAACTGTGGTGCCCAGAACTGGACACAGTACTCCAGGTGAGGTCTGACCAGAGCAGAATACAGTGGCACTATTACTTCCCTTGATCTAGATGCTATACTCCTATTGATGCAGCCCAGAATTGCATTGGCTTTTTTAGCTGCCACGTCACACTGTTGGCTCATGTCAAGTTTGTGGTCAACCAAGACTCCTAGATCCTTTTCACATGTACTGCTCTCAAGCCAGGTGTCACCCATCTTGTATTTGTGCCTCTCATTTTTTTTTTGCCCAAGTGCAATACTTTACATTTCTCCCTGTTAAAATTCATCTTGTTTGTTTTGGCCCAGTTCTCTAATCTGTCAAGGTCATTTTGAAGTGTGATCCTGTCCTCTGGGGTGTTAGCCACCCCTCCCAGTTTGGTGTCATCTGCAAATTTGATCAGGATGCCCTTGAGTCCATCATCTAAGTCGTTGATAAAGATGTTGAATAAGACCGGGCCCAAGACAGAACCCTGTGGCACCCCACTAGTCACTCTTCTCCAGGATGAAGAGGAACCATTGATGAGCACCCTTTGGGTTCGGTCAGTCAGCCAGTTACAAATCCACTGAGTGGTAGCATAGTCAAGACTGCATTTTACCAGCTTCTTTACAAGAATATCATGGGGCACCTTGTCAAATGCCTTGCTGAAATCAAGGTAGGCTACATCCACTGCGTTCCCTTCATCTACCAGGCTTGTAATTCTGTCAAAAAAAACGAGATCAGGTTAGTCTGACATGACTTATTTTTCAGAAACCCATGCTGACTATTGGTGATCACAGCATTCCTTTCTAGGTGCTCACAGACTGTTTGCTTAATGATCTGCTCCAGAATCTTCCCTGGTATTGATGTCAGACTGACTGGGCGGTAATTATTTGGGTCCTCTCTTTTCCCCTTTTTGAAAATAGGGACAACATTTGCCCTCCTCCAGTCTGCCGGGACTTCGCCTGTTCTCCAGGAATTCTCAAAGATGACTGCCAGTGGTTCTGAGATCACATCTGCCAGTTCTTTTAATACTCTTGGATGCAGTTCATCTGGCCCTGGAGACTTGAATACATCTAAACTAGCCAAGTATTCTTGTACTATCTCCTTAGTTATTCTGGGCTGTGTTTCCTCTGCTGAATCATTTGCTCCAAATTCTTCAGGTCGGGCATTGTTTTCTTTATCGGAGAAGACTGAGGCAAAGAAGGCATTGAGGAGTTCAGCCCTTTCTGTGTCCCCTGTTTGCATTTCACCATCTTCTCCTCTGAGTGACCCCACTGTTTCTTTGTTCTTCCTTTTGCTACTGAACATACCCATAAAAGCCTTTTTGTTGCTTTTAACCTCTCTAGCAAGCCTGAGTTCATTCTGTGCTTTAGCTTTTCTGACTTTGTGTCTACACGTGCTGGCTATTTGTTTGAATTCCTCTTTGGTGGTTTCCCCTTTTCCATTTTTGTACACATCCTTTTTAAATCTTAACTCAGTTAAAAGTTCTTTAGATAGCCACCCTGGCTTCTTTAGGCACCTTCCATGTTTCCGTCTCATTGGTGTTGCCTGAAGTTGTGCTTTTACTATCTCCCTCTTAACAAACTCCCAGCCATCATGAACTCCCTTTCCTTTTAGTATTACTGTCCATGGGATCTCACCCAGCACTTCCCTAAGTTTTATGAAGTCGGCTTTCTTAAAGTCAAGAAATTGAGTCCTAGTATGCTTGGCTGCTCCTTTCCGCTGTATAGTAAACTTCAGAAGAGCATGATCACTCACGCCTAATGATCCTTCCACTTCTACCCCACTAACCAGGTCATCAACATTGGTTAGGACCAGATCTAAAATGGCTGTTCCTCTTGTTGCGTCTCCCACTTTCTGGACAATGAAGTTGTCTGCAAGGCCAGTGAGGAATCTGTTTGACCTTATGCTCTTGGCTGAGTTGGACATCCAACAAATATCCAGGTAACTGAAGTCCCCCATTACTACTATCTCCCTTCCTTTTGCATGCTTGGTCATCTGTTCCAGGAAGGCATCATCTATGTCCTCCGTTTGGCTTGGGGATCTATAGTAAACTCCCACAATGAGGTCACTGTTATTCTTCTCTCCCTTAATTTTGACCCAAATGCTCTCACTTTGGCTTTGAGGTTCTAAATCTTGGATCTCTTCACAGGTATACACATCCCTGACATATAACGCCACTCATCCTCCTTTCTTGTCTGGTCTGTTTCTCCTCTATTTGAACTCTGCTTGAGGGCCTGCCCAGACAAGGAAAGAGAGCAGGGTCCTTGAATTTGCTTGTCAACAGAATGGGTGGCACTGCAGTCTAAATCACTGAGCCTCTTGGGACTGCCGGTCAAAGTTGGCAGTTCGAATCAGCGCAATGGGATGAGCTTCCGTTGCTCAGTCCCAGCTCCTGCCAACCTAGCAGTTCGAAAGCACACCAGTGCAAGTAGATAAATAAGTACCACTATGGTGGGAAGGTAAACGGCATTTCCATGTGCCCTGGTTTCCATCACGGTGTTCCGTTGCACCAGTAGCGGTTTAGTCATGCTGGCCACATGACCGGGAAAGGTGTCTGTGGACAAATGCCAGCTCCCTTGGCCTGAAAAGTGAGATGAGCTCTGCACCCCATTGTTGCCTTTGACTGGACTTAACTGTCCAAGGGTCATTTACCTTTTTTACCTACTTGGAGAGCAAACTGAGCAGTCACACAAGTCACCTGATTACTTTTACATCTCACCATAGTGGGAATTTCTATTTAATATACAGTAATTCTTTCAAAAAATGAGCTGATCCATAATAATAATTTATATCCCCACCCATCTGGCTGGGTTTCCCTAGTCACTCTGGGCAGCTTCCAACAAAATATTAAAAATACAATAAAACATCAGACATTAAAAACTTCCCTAAACAGGATTGCCTTCAGATGTCTTCTAAAAGTCAGATAGTTGTTTATTTCCTTGACATCTGATGGGAGGGCGTTTCACAGGGCGGGCACCACTACCGAGAAGGCCCTCTGCCTGGTTCACTGTAACTTCACTTCTCACAGTGAAGGAACTGCCAGAAGGCCCTCAGAGCTGGACCTCAGTGTCCAGGCTGAACGATGGGGGTGGAGACGCTCCTTCAGGAATACTGAATATAAATTAGAATATGCCAAGTTTATGTAAATATGTGATTTCCCTTGTCCTCTTTTTTGGTGTTGTATAAGTGGCCAGCCTTTCCCAGGAATATCTCTCACATATACTAAATAAGGACCACATGGGTATCTCACCTGTGGCTTTTCAAATTTTACTTGACTAGAACTCCCATCTTACCTGATGGCAGTTGGAGTCTTCATGAAAGCAACAACTGTAGGGCCACAGTTCAGATTCCTCTGCCTTCCATCATGGTTTATATATTTTAAAATCAATATTAAACTATTGATTGTCATATGAAGCACACACCACTTGGATAATGTTATAATAATTCCCCAATTGCTGATAACGCACAAATAAAACAAAACCAGACCAAAATGTTCACTCTAAGGCTGAATCTATGAATACTTTAGCATTTAAAGACTTTTAATAGTTTAAAAAAACACCAAACCACTATTTCTGACTTCCTGGTTTTGCCTGAGGAGAAGCAGGAAGTTCCATAAATCACAGAAAGATACTTCTGGCAAGATTACTAGGCTCCTTTTGCTTACGTTTGGCATTTGGATTGTCTGGAAAAGGTTCAGAGAAGAACCGGGAATTGTAACCTTCTCCAAGCCTAGTTTGAACTTTCAGCCACAAAAGGTTGAAACTGTAACTGCTATAAATGACTTGGAGGCCTCCTCTAGCTCCTTTTCACCCACGTATGAAGAACAAAATATGAGTGGTTTATATTTGAGTTGAACATAGTACAGTACTCCTGAAACAGTCAAGAAGAAGGAGGGAGGGAAGGCGGCGGCAGCGGCGGGGGGGAAGAACTAGGTAGACCCAAACAAAGCACAAACAGTTGTTGCAAGCTTCTTTAACATTCTGCCAACAAAACCCTTATCTGACCTGTATCACTTTCTGGATTTTGCAAGGCTAATGAATTGTTTTCTAACAGAGTTCATTGTTTGTGCACCAATAGTCTCCTAGGCTGAGACTGGCAACTATCAAGTTTTTGAAATATATAGTGTAACGTAAGCAGAGTTTGTTCTAGAAAATGTTTTATTGAAATACATGTGTTTATCCTAACAAAACATTCTGAGTTAATCTAACACACACACACACACACACAGAGAGAGAGAGAGAGAGAGAGAGGAGAGCCATATATATGAAAATGATCTTTTGTTATGGAAAATGCCAAATCAAATGTGTCTTTCAAATGAGCATGTAGAAAGGATAGGAACATTGCTTTTGCACCTCTCATGCTGTCCTTCACTTACTGTTTTTTAAAAATGAAGTCAAGCTAGACTGTAACATCAATTTGAATTATATTTGTATCACTGGTTTTTGTTTCTGAATGATAAATATTTTTTCCTGTTTGAAACTAAAGCCCCGGGTTCTAGTTTCAACATTTCCAAATTCAGTTTGAGAGCATTCCCCAAGTTTTGGGTTTTAGAAGCCCACATTTTTTCATTACAATTCAGATTGGAAAGCAATGGTGCTTTCCAACTCTCCACGGGGTTCTGAACAGACTGCATGCATGGATTATGTGTGGATAGTTTAATCCAGAGGTGCGGAACCCTTTTCAGCCCGAGGGCAGCATTGTCCTGTGACCTTTCAGGAGCTGCATTATAGAGGTCAGTGGGACCAGAGGGAAAAGTAGACAGAGCAACAAATTTGACTCTTCTCTTTGTTCAGTAGCACTCTCATCTCTCATATAGAAAAATTGCACCAAAATTTCACTGGTTTGCTATTTAAACACACAAAGAATGTGTGTGTGTGTGTGTGTGTGTGTGTGCATTTCAAGGATTTGCCATTTAAATGCTACTATCCAAACATCAACCAATTCATCTTCCAGTCACATCTCCTCCTCTTCTAACTAGCAAAAATCAGGTTCCCCTCCCACTCTCCCTCCTGCTCTACACACAAACCACATCAAAACTTCAATGGTTTTAGTTGCTTCAAGTTATTTGTGCTTGTGGTGAAGTTTTGTGCTGTTTGCTTGCCTACAATGGTTTCTGTGAAGTTTCCCACTACTTCCTTGATTTGGAAGGGACTTGTGAGTGTCAATGGGATCCAAAGTGGTGATGATCAGTGTGTCTTCCAGAGGTGACAGATGTCCAAGGAAGGAGGAAGTCTGGCCAAGAATGCTTCACAGCAGCCATTAAAAATATGGTCGGAGGTTGGTGGGCTTGTTTTGGCCTTCAGGCTTCCTGTTCCCTTTCCCAGTTTTAGTCACTAGGTGGCACTGGACTTAATTACTAGGTGGTACTGGAATAATTATTTTCTTGTTATATTCCTTCTGAAGGAAGACAATAACCTGCTCTGCATATCTGTAGTAATGAAATAGGTTGCTTTTCTCCTCCCAGCAAAACTGAGTTCAATGCTACACCATGAACACAGATTGTACATCAGAAAAAAGGAACATAGGAAGCTGCCTTATACTGATTCAAGCCATTAATCTGTCTATCTAGCTCAGCACCGGCTTTTCTGAGTTTCAGGCAGGAGTCTTTTCCAAGCCTACCTGGAGATGCTGGGGATTTTGAACCTGGGTCCTTTTGCATATGCACAACAGATGCTCTACAATTACAATTGTCATGGACTGGTTGAACACAGAAGAGTGGGGGGAGGCACCATCAGTGACGAAGGCTCAGAGTGAGGGGATTGGTGGTGGGATGATAATAAGGGGTCAGAGGAAGGAGAGAGAGCAGACAGGGAGGAGGAGGTATCGGAAGCTGCAGAGGTAACATGGTTTAGTGAGCAGGAAGAGACTGTGGCAGAGAGCAGTCCAGAATCAGAGGCAGAAGTGGAGGCTGAAGAGGAGGGGGGCCCAGGGGCACAGATGAGGCAGGCTGCTGAAGAAGCCAGGGGTTCTCCACCTTTTGCTGTGACCAGCTCCCCCCTCCCCCCTCTGTCACCCAGAACCCTCAAAGGTATGAAAACAGCAGAGCAGAGTCAGGCAAAATGAATGAACCTCAGATTGCTTGAAAAGGAACCAAAGGAGGAGAGCTGTGGAACGGCAGGGAAATCCAGTCCTCACAACTGCCTCATTAGGGCAAGATCGACTGGGAATAGTTGTTGTGCTCACTAGGCCTGAGCTGTTTGTTTCTTTGAATAAAGAGTTAACTTTACTGGCACCTTGTGGGTTATTGCTGACTTGGTCCTGACAGCAGCAATACAGTCCATCTCCAGAATTTCCCAAGTTACACATCCACCCATTTGAAAGGGGTTCAAAAGCATGCTGGCTAAGCTGCAATCTTGAAGTATGGTGAAAAATTCAGAAGATTACTTTACCAGGGGCATGGATTGTCTACCCTAGATTTACTTGACCCACCTGATGCGCCACAAGTGGTTGTGTGAATCAGTCATTTCACTGGGACTAGCATAGCAACAACCCTTTCATAAGTAACCCTGTACATAAAATTCTTGGCTAAGGAAGTAGGCAGACAATAGGGTCTAGTACCTGTCACACCTTGACTTGTTGAGTGCTAACACAGCCCGGGGGATCCGAAAGCTGTCATTACAAGACATTAGCATGAGAAAAGGAGCACCCCTTCTGTTTTGGCATGTCATACCCCGGTGACAGGGAGCACAAATACAGTCAGGAGCATAGAACAGTGTGACTCAGTGTTGCCTTTGACAGTGTTGGGCACCAAGGCTGTCACTCTTTTGACATGGGCCCGCCCTCCCCACTACCCACGCTGGTGTTCGAAAAACAGCAGCTCGCCCACCACTTTCATTTCCACACAATGTGTCAATAATTACTTGTCAGGGCTTTTGCTCATAGACCTAGGAATGGTGAATAAATGCTCATTATGCTGGGGGAAGTGGGGAGGGGGGAGAGAGAGAGAACTGTTGCAAGCTTTACTATAAATCTTGGGTTACAAATGTTCACAATAGGGGCTATTGACACAGCGGCAAACACTCGCATTAACTTGTAAAGTCATGCTGCCGTAAAGAGGGTTTGACAAACTAACTTGCAGCTGAGGAGTTTGTTGACCTGTTCCTTGCCTGCCTTGCCAACCAAACTAGGCCCTGTCTGTAGTAAAATCCAGGAGGAGGTGGCTGCTGTTTAAACAGCCCTGTTGTCTCTCTGAGGCGACATTCTTATCCCCTGCTGCATAGGAGCTTTGTAAATAATTCTTCGCAAAATGTAATGGCGTAACAAGAACAAAGTAGAGCAACAACTCAGGATTGGTCTTCAAACTTAAAATAGGAGTAGAGGAATACATAAACTCAAGATAAGCTTCTTCCTTTTTTAATGGAAGGGACTGTCCTAGCAGAAATTTGGTGCTGAAATGGCCTTGGCAATCACTTAATATCTGGCACTTATCTCATAAATTACAAGGTCACAATTCAGCACAGAGTAAAGCGGTCTTAAGCCCGTTCATTTTCTGCCCACAGAGTTGACGGTGGAAGTTCCCCTCTCCAGGACTTCCCTGTGCTGCAGTGCCTCAGTGGCAACAAAAGTTCCCTATAATAACAGCAACTTATTGCTCTGGTGGTTGAGTTTGGAAATTGTTGGTTAAGGGAAAACATTTCACACACGTCAAGATTTTCTCAGGAACCGTGAGAACAAAAAAAATGAAAACAGAACAACTTTGGCATCTGAGACACATCCTGGCTCCCGAGGGTCAAACTGGACATAGCTTGGTCAGCTGTGACTGTTGTTCATGTGTCTTTTCCATTCACATATATAGAGGGTTTCAATGGGTCTAAATTTTACATCAAAAGGGATATAAAGGTGAGGGGAATGGAACACATAATCTAGCACCTTAGCAGCCTCTGACACATCTCCCAAAGTACCTCTCACCCACGTGGCTCTTACACCTGAAAATAGTTGGACTGGAAGAAAACGTTGTGAAGTGATGTGCTGTGGAAAAATAAGAGGAAAGAGGGTTGAGCTTGTGTCATCTGAGTGTTCCCTTTTGACACAATATTCAATCTCCACATCCTGCTTTATGTGTAAATAAGGGTGTTGGAGAATTCCAACACAATCAGAAATGGGAATGAAAACTGGAATGGAATAAATCCAGTGACTATAATTGGCATTCACTGTTATTGCTGCATTCAGTCTGTAAATGATATATAATTTATTATAGTCCCGTCCCTATCATTGGCATTGTGTTTCCTTTGCACTGAAATGAATGGAGTGGAATAATACAATGACAATTTAATTACATAAAGTACATAAGTTATACAAGTTACATGCTTTTGCCACAGCAGATAGCGAGACAAATAACATAGCTGTTGGTGGAAGATGAACTGCAGTGGAACAGAACCAGTTCCGCATGCAATAAACACAAGGTGGAATGTAAAACTTTGTGTTTGTACATCCTTAGGTGTGAATGAGGAACTCTCATAATAAATGACAAACTTAACCATCTAGTTTGGCTCTTAGAACCAACTTTCAGTTTTCCAGGATGACTAGGTGTCTGCATATCTGTTAATATAACATTAACAGTCAAAGCCAAGATAAAACAAAGTAAACACAAAATATCACAGGAATGTGAGAAATTCAACAGTAGGGAACTACCAATAGGCACAGCAAACCACAAATGCCAAATTCAGAGTCTCCAGAGCTGAAAAGCACTGCCTTTGCCCTGCATCTAAAGATCTGTAGAAAGGGGGTGGGAATGAACCTTCCTTAACACCTGCCCCACCACTGAGAAAACATGTCTTGGGTAGCCCTTTGCCATAACATTGATAAAAGAGGGACCTTGAGTAGGATCTCCAAGGAAACTTTCTGCTAAAACTTACTCCTTCATCTTTTATAAATAGGCTCCTAACATCACAATCCTGCATAATGTAAATGGGTGAGGAACCTCAGAGCTTTTGCTGTATGTTACTGGCTCTTGTATTTTTTATATAGGCATGCAGTCAATGACTGCACAGGGAGTAAAAGGAAAGAGTTGAGTGATTTGCAACATTTAGTATCTACTTCTGTGTTGTTGTTTTTTATAAACTTATTCTCTTTTGCCTATGGTTCTATTGCTTTTTCACAGTTCCTTGCTGTTGCCTTTTGCTTGTTTAACTCACGCTGATTTACTTTTTGATTGCCATTTTGTAGGTATTCCCCAATGTTTGTTTTAAACCCCATCCCATTTTCTGGCTTGTTTTCTTTCCCCCATTCACATTAAACACATACTCCCGCCCTCCCCGCTTCAACTTTCATTCAGCCCAGCCAGTATAAACGTAGCAAATTTCACATTTCATGTTTGTCCTTAGCCAGTTTCCAATGCATTTCATTTTCCAGTGGTAATGTAATCCCTTAAACTCAAGCCCTATTCATTAAATATATATATATATTGTTTAAATTGTAATTTTGGGTGCATATTCTGAATGTCCTTAAGTTTTGGAAACAGCTTATTTTAACAAAACCTAAACATTGGCCCCATATCACTGGATAATATTGCCTTAGCCAAGCCTAACACTGTTTGGCAAGTAAACCTCCCACTGTGTTGGCATAATAATGATTTATGTACAACATGCCATGGCTTAAACTATGATTGTGTAAACTTGTGTGGAAACCACAAGTTTAAATCACACACATTTACAAGGTATTTGTTTTTGTAAATGTTCATTTAAACTGAACAGCAACATTATCAGAGGCAATGCACTGAAGCCACATATTCACAACTGCTGCTCTCTTTACCAGAGCCAATTCTGTACCCAAGATGTTGCCAAGCCACATCTGGATTGGATCTGGAGTCAAGCCATAGCTCTAGTCCATGTGTGTGCCATGTCCTGCCGTCTTTGCCGTTTCTTCCTCCAACTGGCATTTCTTAGTGGAATGGCAACTGAAAAGATTTATATAAATTGCAATTTTCCTGCAGCCCATTTGCCAGTGAGAATCTTGGTTGGAAGTGGTGAACAAGTCTGCTCTTCTGCTCTTCTCTGTCCATACTCAATTAAGCAGAGGATTGTGGAATCCAGAATATCGACACATACATGTAGTTTATTTTCTGTGTTTTTATTTCAACAATTTGTATGCTGCTTAACCACTGTCATCTCAAAGTGGTGTATAGGAGACCCAATACAATGAGACCAAAAACAAGGTTGTTGTTGTTGTTGTTGTTGCTGTTTAGTTGTGCCTGGCTCTTCGTGACCCCATGGACCAGAGCACGCCAGGCACTCCTGTCTTCCACTGGCCTCCCACAGTTTGGTCAAACTCATGTTGGTAGCTTTGAGAACACTGTCCAACCATCTCATCCTCTGTTGTCCCCTTTTCCTTGTGCCCTCCATCTTTCCCAACATCAGGGTCTTTTCCAGGGAGTCATCTCTTCTCATGAGGTGGCCAAAGTATTGGAGTCTCAGCTTCAGGATCTGTACTTCCAGTGAGCACTCAGGGCTGATTTAATAATAAGGTAACATTATAAAATTAGTTGCAAAATTAATGAATGTTAGAATGATGTTAGATTGAAGTTAAGTGGTTTCTAGCTGTACAGGCACAAAAGAATATGGAAAAATTGGTTTTTAATATGTAAAATGTAAAATTTAAAGTTATATTATATCAAGATTAAAGATTAGGATTAAAAAGGAGGGAAAGGAATTGTTGGATTAACATATTTAATTAGAATACAGAAGAGGGAGGTAAGAGGAGGTCCGGGAAATAAGTAAACGTAAAAGAAGTGAGGAAAAGATGAAATTGTTTTAAATTGTTTTTTCTTTTTACTTTGTATTTTTCCTTTTTATTGTTAACTTTTTCTTTACTAATGTGGATCTTTTTATTTATTTATTTTTCTGTGAAACTTTAATAAATATTATTTTTTTAAAAAAACATTATAAAATTAGAGCTCGGTTAGAAAGGTTGCTGGAATAAAATGTTTTTACTATTTTTTTGTTGAGAGCTGCCCAGATTGGATGGGGCGATTCAGCCAGATGGGCATCATCATCATCATCATCATCATCATCAATGAATCTATGAAAAAAAAAGTTTAGTAAGCACAGGAAGTTCACCAAAGAGGATCCTGTCTGACCTCAGCTAGAAGGGAGTTCTACAAAATTGGGTCCAGAATATTGACTGCATGGCTCCTTATAGAGATTAGCTGTGCATCTGAGCCATGGGGGCCACTAACAGTGACTTTCCCAAATACATCAGTATATGGGATCAGGAAGAGCCTGAGATATCCTGGGCCCAAGTTCTTCAGGACATTGTTAATTAATACCAGAGACTTGAACCTGGCCTGGTAGTGCAAGTTTTTGAATTTTAAGCAGAAATAGATACAGAACAGGAAAAATGATTTAGCTGGGACAAGGAGTAGAAAATAGGAACTGTCCCTAGTAATAATGACATTTGCAGCATATGGAATCTTATTTGCATGGAGGCAAAATCATATTGTGAAAAGCATGTGGGCTGAGACTTGTTCAGAAGACCAACGATGAGAAGTGAATGTAGCTGCTTCCCCATGAATGGCATCTTGGAAGTCTTGCTTGAAGGCTGTAGACAGAGAGGTCATCCTGACTGTGAGGATTTGAAAAGCAATGGGAAACGATAGGCTTACCATAATCACAAATGCTTCAAGGTGTTCCTTGAGCCTGTCAACAGTGTTAACTGCTGCTTTTCTTCACTGCAAACCGTTGGACATTTCCTGCAATGAGCAGTCATTTGTAAATGTTATGGCGAACAGAAACGGAAATGAAGACTCAATTTCCTACAAAGCTCAAATTCAGTTTAAACCATGGTGCGTCGCTTCCATTTATACAGCAGAGGTTAACATGATACTATATGTAATAGAAGTAAATCAACTTGATGGAAAAATGAATACAGCATTCAGACTGCATTAATTAATTAAATGTTTGGGATGGTCTTTAGCATTGTATCACACCATTATGGCATGCAGCATATCATTTATTACTAGAAGTGAACTCAAGAGTGGAGTTATTATTTGGTTATCTTTTATTAATATTTATTTAAAATATTTCTTGATCATTCTGTTTCCAGGATGATTCGCAACAATAAAATACATATAAAAAACCAGTTATAGTAATAATCACAATTAAATCACATCAAATTTCATCCCACTGAATGTTAACCTTAAGTTTGGTATTAACTATTATTATTATTTACATTTATTTATTGCTTTCTGCAAAAAAGGTCTCAAATTGACCCATAAAACACAAACAGCATAAACAACCAGCTAAAACCCAGATACAAAAAAAACAAAAAACAAGATCCAATAAACAAATCCCTAAAGTGCTCATCCAACAATACTATAAACAGAACAAATCTTTTTCATTCCATTTGAGCGCCACAAAAGGTCTGAAAGCATACCAGTGTGTGATTCAGATAAACTATCCAAATCCTGGGCCAAAAGAACATCTTTACTTGCTACCTGAAAGCTGACTGTGATGGTGCCCAGTGTGTTTTCCTGAGGAGAGTGTTCCACAAATGCTCTCCCCGGCAAATGATTGTGTGAACAAAAAGGTAAGGATGGGGGAGAAATTATATTCAGTTCACACTGAAAAGTGAACTTACCTGAATCATAGAATTGTAGAGTTGGAAGGGACCCCAAGAGTCATCTAGTCCACCTCGCTGCAATGCGGGAATCTCAATTAAAACATCCATGGCAGATGACCAGCCAACCTTTGCTTGAAAACCTCCAAGGAAGGAGAATTCACCACCTTCAAGGGAGTCCATTCCCCTGTTGAACAGCTCTTTTTGTCAGAAAGTTCTTCCTGATGTTTAGTCAGAATCTCATTTCTTGTAACTTGAAGTCATTGATTTGAGTCCTTCCTTCCAGAGTTGGAGAAGACATCTTCCATGTGACAGCCCTTTCAATATTTGAACATGGCTATCCTCTCAGTCTCCCCTTATACAGCCTAAACATATCCAACTCTCTTAACCATTCCCCATAAGGCTTGATTTCCAGACCCTTGAACACCTTGGCTGCCCTCCTCTGCACACATTCCAACTTATCAATATCCTTCTTAAATTGTGGTGTCCAGAACTGGATCCAGTACTCCAGGTGTTGTTTGATCAAGGCAGAATAAAGCACTACACTGTTGACTTATGTTAAGCTTGAGGTATACTATGACCCCTAGATCCTTTTGAGATTTATTACTGTCAAACCAGGTGTTCCCCATTTTATATTTGCTCAGCTGGTTCTTCCTGCCTATGTGCAGAACCTTACATTTGTCTCTACTGAAATTCATTATATTAGTTTTTGTCCAGGTCTCCAATCTGTAAATCCTATTCCTGTCTTCTGTGGTATTCTCTCCCCTTCTCACTGTAGATTTGATGAGCATCCTCTCAATTCCTTCCTCCAAGTCATTTATAAATACATTGAACAACAACACAACCAGAACAGAACCATTAGTGAGCCCTCTTTGGGTTCAGCCAGTCAGCCAACTACAAATCATGCTTTCCAAAAGAAGATGTGAACCAAAACACACAAATCCTTTGAAATTTGCACTTCTCTGAATTTTGCAATACAGTTTTCCAGCTAAGTAAGGTGTAAAAAAATTGTGTATACTAGGGTAAAGTGTGCATATTATTTAGATAAGATACAAAAATGCATTATAAGGAAACCCTTACATCTTACATGGGAGTTTGGTTCCAAGGGCAACAATTATACACACATATTAGGTATACCAAAATTGTGTTACCCTTGGAGCTACCCCATCACTAGCCAGCCTCCCTTCTATAAAGAGAGAGAGCATTCCTACCATGAGCAGAGCCAGCACGTTAAGCTGGCTTTGCCTGAGAAGCAAGGCTAAGAGCTTAAAAGGTCTTTTGTGCTGAGTAACCTCAAGCAGACATGGCACAAAACCAGCTTTTAAGCTCTTGGCCTTGATTCCTGTGCAAAGTCTGCTGGGTGCACCCTACATGTAGCACAGTGGTGCTGGGAGTGGTTGGGATGCTCCAGGGAGATCTTGCACAAAGTCAGGTTGCCCCACAAGATCTTGCAAGAGCATCCCCACTACAGTGGTACCTCGGGTTACAGATGCTTCAGGTTACAGACGCTTCAGGTTACAGATTCCGCTAACCCAGAAATTGTTGGAAATCTGCCCCCCGGGAAGGCTGCCTCCTTCCCAAGCACTAGGACTTCTCTCCAGTGGTCACCCTCTGGCTGAAAATACTCCCTCAGTCCAGGGGGACCGATATTAAACGACCCCTCCCTCATGAGAGGAGCACACTCGTCTTCTGGCATTTCATGACAGAAGACAGTCAGAAAGTAGTTTAACACTCTACTTTTATTCACAGACTGTACAAAATACACAGAGCTCTTATAGCCATGTCTGCTCAACAGAAATAGTACCTCGGGTTAAGAACTTTGCTTCAGGATGAGAACAGAAATAGCACATTGGCGGCGCGGCGGCAGTGGGAGGCCCCATTAGCTAAAGTTCAGGTTAAGAACAGTTTCAGGTTAAGAATGGACCTTCAGAACGAATTAAGTTCTTAACCCGAGGTACCACTGTCCTGCCATAGCCAACATACTATATTTGTTTGTTTTTAACTAGGAAAGTATCTGTTATTGACACCACTTCCGACTTGGTCTGCCCTACGCTAGGACTGCTTTTTAAATGAAGTGAGAGTGTATGCCGTGATCCTGTATGCTTATGCCATTTAGGCTGACTTTCCCTTGTCTACCTGAATTAGATGTTGTCAGTCCAAATCACACTGTGGGCCTGAACTGGAGAAGGGCTGCAAAAGCACAACAAAGCTGCTGTCCTCCTGGGTTCAATTTCAGGAGTGTTCCTCCATTGACTTCAGTGGGAATAAGTGCATGTTGCTGGGAGCAGAACTCTGCAGTTATATAAATGCATATTGTTAACAATAATGGACACGTGTCTGAGAACTGGCAGAGTGAAAACATGTGGAAGCAGGGGGGCAGGGGAGCAGATCTCTAGTTCATCATGGATGTGTGAACTTGCCCCCAAGTTCCTAGATCTCCACGGTCATCAATCTCATGCTGTTACATGTGAATAAAAACAGGAAGACTAAAGAACAAGATTGGGAGAGATGGGCTGGAGGAGAACCATAATCCCCTCTTAGTTTTCACCAGCATCAGCATCCTATGAGTCAGTGGCACATGACTGAGTCCTTAGAGTCCATCTGCGGAACCAGGATAATAAGCAGAACATGTTGTTGCCCTGAGAAGAGGATGCTTTCAGCATCTTTTCTGCCCTTATCTCTTCTTATTTATGGCTCCACTGGGAGAAGAATGACCTTCTATCTTTTTCCATGGTGGGTAGATTTTGTTTTGAAAACACCCTCTTCAGAACTGACTCCACAGCCAATCGTGGTCTAGTTTATAGAGTCTTAACTTGTCAGAACTACAGCCGAATGTGCAATGCAGACTTGCTGTTGTTGTTTAACTTTGAAAGAGATGATGAGTCCCATAACCCTGAAAGAGTTGGTTAACCTCTCCATTGCTTGATATTTTATGTATTTTGTTGTTCTGTGAACATATTTGTCCAAGTTAGTTCTAACCGCCATGGAAACAAAAACCACAAGTTTTTAAAGCACTGTCTTTGAGGCATGCCATTGATTTAAGGAGCTGTGTGTGTTTATAAGGTTATTTCGGAACAAGCTTTAGGCTGAAGATATATATATGATTTGTAGGATTTGTGCAGAAATGTTTCCTTCCAGAATCATCAACTGGTGCAACTGGTGCAATGCTGACATAAAGTTTGTTGGTTTGGAGAGAAAGAAAGAGAGATATTTGCCTAGACAAAGAGGCTCTGGGAAGGTTTCTATAAGTATGAACAGATACCCCAAAGTAAAAGTTAACAAGAGAATACAGTGTGTGAACCCTTCACCCCCTCTCTCAGTTCTTTCCTGTCTACTGTCACCCAGGAATACCAATCATTTCTGACCTGAGAAGGGGGTTAAATGAAAATATGTGTGGAGGGATGGGTA